CTCCAACATCTCCCCAGTCTGCCCATGTCACTGTACCGCTTGACCATCATCCTAGTCCCATGCTATCCTTGTTCTTGCCTGGAATACTAGATCAATAAACTCCTGTCTGCCCTCTCTGCTTTCACTCTTGTCTCCCTTCACTCCAATGCCTGCACAATAAGGAGGAGAAGTCTTAAAAATAAATGTTAATAAGATCATGTAAATTGGTTGTTTAAAATGCTCCAAAGCCTTCACGTGAAGAAAATCCAAACATCTTCTCTCTATTTACAGGGTCGACTTCACTCTTTGCCTTCCTCTCACACCTCACTGCTCTTACTTTCTTCAGCCACTCACTAGCCCACTTCCTATTCCTCCAACAAGCCATGCATATTTCCTCCTTGGAGACTTCACATTTTTGGTTTCTCTTTCTAGAATATTCTTCTCTCTGATGTTTCTGTGGTTGGTTCTTTCTCTTAGCTTAAATTGTACTTTGCAGCGTATCTTTATCATCTCTCCTCTGGATGACTGTAATCACCTCCCTGTTGGCCTCTCTATCTCCCTGTCTCCCACTCCCATTCCCTCCTCCTCGCTCTGCAGATTTCAGCCGTGACTCAGCCTAACATGGTCTAGCCCCTGCCCAGCCCTCCAGCTTCACCCTCACTGGATTCCTTGCCTCACACATTATGTTCTCCTCCTTTGCTATTTCATGGAATGCCTCTGAGCCTTTTCAAAAGCTATTCCTCCTGCCTAGGACTCTCTTCCATCCTTTCTTCTGGATAACCTCTATTCCTTCTCTAAGACACAATTTAGGAAAGTGTCGCTTTCCTTGGAAGTGCTTTTCAGACTCTCTCCTTACCTGAAGTTCATCCATGGCTTTCTCTACCGGGCTTCTGAAAGCACTTGGGAATTGTTTTGTTGTTGTTACTAGTTTCCTAGTCTCTCTCCTGATGGCCCTCTTGGAAGCAGGGATTATGTATGTATGCACTTATCTTCATCCCCAGTACCCAGCACACAGCTTTGCATATAATAAATATTGCATAAAGGTTTACTTACAAGATTTCTGGAAGACGGCATTGGGATGGCATTCTGCTGGGGTGGATCATAGCCAGTGTTTTAATCAGCTGGAGAATTCATGAGCTCTGACTCTGAGGACAGAGTGAATGACATATCCTGAGGAAGAAGCTGCTAGGGCGTGCATTGTGGAAGATCAGAGTTGGCACTCTTGGTGTAGTTCTATGACCATGGCATAGCTGTATGTTTTGTATCCTGCAGCAGCTCAGCCCCCAGTGTTCACATGTGGGCCTATTTCACATGTGGGCCTAGGAAAGGACAGAGCACCGAAAGAAGTTGGAAATGAGGTGGAAGGACATGAAAGGTTCAGGTCCCCCAGGAATTATCACTGTGTTCAGCCCTGGTATGGCTGCCTCCTTCCTTGGGAGCTGCCTCTCACATGAAGTGGAATCTAATTGGCCGTGTTTCCATTTAGTGACCCTGCTTGCCCAGCCCACACCTGATTGAGCCAGGAGTAGGCATCCAACCCCACCTGTGCCAATGGGATTCTCCCTCTCCTACAATTCAGTAATTAAAGCAGAAAAACACAGAGCCTGGAAGGTGGTGATAGTGACTCAAGCTAATGGCAGTGTCTTAGACAGAAAAGCTGCAAACTCTAGCTGTTGAAATATGTCCAATTCCTTTCCCTTCCTGAGTCAAATCTTTTTGATTCTATGACATAGGCCAGTAACCCTGCAAAGAGGAGGGATGAAGGGAGGTATAGATTCGGCTAAGAGAGACTCAGATGCTTTCTGGGGATAGGAGTGGACTAGTCTTCCAGGAGTGAAGGATATAAGGAGAAGAGCTAGGAGTGGATCTCAACTTATCTTTTTCAGCTGAGCAAGTGCCCTTTCTCTATAGCAAAATTAAGGACTTCCAGAAAACCAGAGGTTAAAGCATTTTACTCGTGAGGACACTGTGACCTAGAATGGTGTTGTGACTTGCTAAGGCTCCTGCAATCACTTAGCGGTTAGGTCTGGAACCCAGGCCTCTCAACTCTCAGCTCAATGCTCTTTTGGTCATCTCAGTTGTCCCCAGTCTGTTGAGCTGGGCCCAGCTTATCTGTCAACATGGGTTCGTTATGCTCCCTTTCTGTGTCCAACTTGGTGGCTGCAGGTGATTACCTCTAGGGTCCAGGAGCCCAGGGTTAACCTCAGCTATGTGATTACTAAGGGAGTGTGTTTATCTGGGGCATCTGCCTACCTAAGGACCCAAGTGACCCATTCCTTAAAATTGTGGGGCTGAGAACCATAAAGCGATAATCACATGGCAGGACACCAGCGCGGAGGACACCAATCATACAACATAATGTTATGTGAGTGGCATGGGGGTGGTACTTGTGAGTTGCCCTACCCACACACATCCTGCCAGCCCTGCAGCATTCTAGCATGGCTGCATTCCTGGCCTTAGATGTAACATTTGTTATATTGCTCCCAAATTTGGTTGGATGCAATAATTGCACTATTCTTTCCAACCAACTCAGTCCCTCCAAGGTGGGAGGAAGTCTACTCTCTCTGCACCAAGCAGGTTCCCAGGGAGGCCTTTAGACAGACAGTGCTCCTGTCTGACTTCTACAGTTGATCTGAAGTCATTGTCTTCAGAGTATGATTTGAAGTTTGCTTAAAGCAGAATCCCTCGGCATGATTGTGAAAATGCAGATGATTGGACTTCTTGCAGACCTACTGAATCATAATCTCTGCATTATTAACAAATTCCCCAGATGATGAAGGTTGCTGGTCTCAAGAGTTCATTGGGGTTGGAAAAAGTGATGAGTTTAGGCTGGGGAGATGGTGGTTTCCTGCTTCTGCTGCAGCACTTCCTAGCTGGGTAGTTTTGGCATGTCACTCACCTTCTCTGAGCATCCCTTGAAGGGAAGGAATGCATCTTATTTATACTTACCTCTATTCAGTGCCTAGAAAATAGGTGGCCCTTCAACTAGTGTTGAAAGAATAAAGATCTTAACCCATACTGCACCTATTGAATGAAATAACTCAGGGAAAACACCTGTGCAATGTCCTACACATGGTAGGTGCTCATCAAGTGTAGTCCTCTTCCATTCTCTTTAGGACAGTGGCTTGTCAGCTGTGGGTAACTTGAGTAGGGACATAGCAGAAGTGTAGAGGAGACGACAGGTGCTCAAGACCTTGCTGAGACCCAGAGGTGATAGGTGCTTCTGGGAAAATCCATACTTCCCTTCTTATTCTGCTTCCTGTGGTCCTTTGTCCATTGTCCTGGTAGTCGCCAAACCCATGAAGTTCAGCCAAGGCCAATCACAGAAGAGAGGGCAATGGCTGCCATTGTGCCACCCTGGAGTTGGTGAGGTCACCTGGTGGATGCCAAGTCTGTGTCTAAAGGCAGAAGAGCCTCATGGTTGTGATCAGCAGCTAAGAATAGGGGGCATGTAGAGGGTTAAGTTCAGGATTGAGGGTCCTGGATATGAATAAATGAATCTTGGTCTTAAAATGTGATACCATCGGGAAAAATAGTTGATTTCTCTTAGACTCAACCTTTTTATTTGTGGAAGTGTCATAAAATACTCCCCCTATCTACTCCCAGCATTCTTGTGAGAATCAAATGAGGTAATGATGATATAATTACTGTCTCTCTGTACAGACCATGTTGTAATGCTTTTTGCTCAAAGTTTGGTCCCCAGACCAGCAGCATCAGCATCACCCAGGAACTTGTTAGAAATACAGAATCTCAGGCTCCACTCCAGACTTACTGAATGGGAATCACATTTTAACCTTATCCTCAGATGATTTCAAACACGCATTAAAGTTTGAGAAGCAAAGACTAAACAATTATAAGGAATTTTTAGTTCTTCAAACACTCTTTTTTTTCGGGAGTGTTCCTCCAGAGAAAGAGAATGTGTCTTATTTATTTCTGTTTAGTACCTAGACCATAATTGACCCTTAACTAGTGTTGAATGAGTGGATGAATGAATGAATGAAGACCTTACTCTCACCCACTACTTGGAGCTCTTTACCCGATATCTCTCCTGCTATAATAGCAGAATGTCCAGTGGTGATTGAAGCTGCCTCACAACCAGATGATGCCAACCACAGATGCAGGCATTTAGTATGTGATTAAGGACAGAGTAATCCACTTAATGTGGGTTGTGGGAGATATTTGGCAAGAACCAAGGGGCAGGGGTTGAATTTTAGTTTCCAAAGATAATATCTTCTCAATTATTTAAAGCCCTCAATAACTTGGATCACACCCAGACAGAAATAAGCTTCCTTAAGACAGAATTCTAAACAGGAGTCTTTCTCACTTTTGCAGCAGAATCTTGACACTACTAGTCTGGTCAGATGTTTTTGTAACATGACGTGGAGTGGTTGTCCAGCTGGATCTTTGTTGAGCTGAGACAAGCTGAGCTTCCCATCTAGAAAGGAGAAATGTTTTTTGTTTACTAGATTTTACCAGCAGCTAAATTAATTAAAAATTAATCTATCCCATCATTCAACAAATACTACAGTGCTTGGCTTGGGGTTACCATAGTAAACACACTAGCAATCTCTGATTCTATCAAGTAATTGCCAGGTGATGAGGATGGAATATGAGTCAAGGGATTACAGTGAAGTTTGAGGAAGTACAGGCTAATATTAGACAGCGTGGCAGGCAAACTTAGCCTAGTAAGGGTGGAGGTGATGGAGAGACACTTCTTGCAGGAAGTGACCTTTAGGCTGATACCCAAAGAATGAGTAGGAGTTAAGCAACTGGGATAGGAAGGAGGAAATGAAGCTGATATAAAGAATAGCATCAGTCAAGGCCTAGAAGCAAGACACAGCATGCTCTAGCAAAAGAAGTGAAGCAGTAAATATTTTGGATAATGCGACTGACTGTGTGGGTTGCTTGTGGATATATGTGGGGTATGGAGTGTACTAAGAGATGAGGCTGAAGAGGTAAGCAAGGGTGGGACCTCACAGGGTATTGTGAATCCTCCTAAGAAATTTGCATTTTATCCCCAGGTCAGTTGAGGAAGTCCTTTAAAGTGTCAGTGGGTCTGATACAGTTTCCAGTTCTCCTCTCTAATGGACCAGTGGGCCCCTTCATCAATACGGCAATGGTAAGAGATTTATTTCCAGTCTGCATGCTCCACCCTGCCCTCATGTGTCTTCTAGTCTGAGCTGGGTGCCTGCTTCTTGCTTTGCATCCTTTAATGCTAACCACAAAAGGGTCATAAGTGTTGCCTTATACACTTCTTCAAAAAATAGTTTTTCTTTAACAAGACTTCATCAGTTGAATTCTCCCAGTCAATCTGCTTCCACTCTGTCTAATGTGAGGGCCTCGTCCTGTGGTATCTTTTTCTGGGTTCCCCCTGCCCTGAGGGTCAAGTAAGGCACTGGCAGCTCTGAGCCTAAGCTGAAAACATCTGCCCTGCTGGGCCTCACCAGTAGCATCACCGTGCCCACTTCCTCGGCAGCAGTAGGTCAGTCCATTTCTGTGTAATCATTTATACCCATTAGTGTACTGGCTACATCTACACATGCCTTCATTGCCAAGGCTCTTACTATGAACTGTCACTATTGGAAGATTTCTGAGAGGCAGTGCAGTCAGAACACAAGAGTGAGGGTAGGAAGACCTGGCCTGAATTGTGGCCCCTTCCTGCCTACCTTCTAAGACTTTGGGTGAGTCTCCTGAATCTTGGCTTCTGCAGCAATAAATGGGGACAAACAAGAACCCCTGCCCTGTCTATTCTTGGGGTGGTGGTGAGATCAGACAGAATTGTGTGTGGGTGTGTGAGAAAGTGCTTTGTAAAGTTCTATGAAAAAGTGGGCTTTCATTGATACTGTGGGCATTTTTGGTTTGGTCTCTGTCCACTCCAGCCCTGTCTGGTGCAGCTGAAGGTAGATAGGACCCAGGAGTTGTGCATTTCTCACCTTCCACAACTAATTACTCCCTTCCTGTCTGAGGTTTTCAAATTAGGTTTCATTTTACCATGACTTCGGCGCTCAATCACTTAATGGACAACCCAATTAGAAACCATCTGTCCAAATGAAAACATTATTTTAGTTCATAATTGTCAAGACCAAGCAGTTTTTAGTGACACAACCCATTTTGAAACTCTTTCTGGTGGACCTGTGGTGTACACACTCAATTTGCTCCCCTGTTAAGTAATTATCTCCTCAAGCTTCTTGCTGGCATTTTCTGAAATGTTAATGGAACGACATTAAATTTCAGTTCATTTCAGAGCTCCTGTTTTCCTCTAAAATTTTCTCAGGGAATCCTTAAAAATAGATAGATACATAGATAAAAGAGAAGATCAAGTGATTGTCCCTTTTCAAACAATTGCCCTCCACAATCCAAAACACTGACATCACGGCTTGGAGATTAAAGGTTCAAAGCATTGTGATGAAAATGGAATTTAGGGATTTTGAAAAACTCATGGTATCTCATCCTGAAAGGGATCCTCACCATCTCCTCTTCTTGTCCATTATACACGGTGGGAATTCCTTTCCTAGAGACAATGGACCGTTATTAGAGTGTCCAGGCATTTACATCCAGGTCAACTGAAAGACAGCATAAAGGATCCTTAAGAAAAGATGGAGCCCTCACAGTCATGTCTTCCCTGAAACCTTCGTTGATCATCCCTCCCCATTAGGTGTAGATAGTATTTCTTTCTCTTTGCTTCCAAGTGGTACACATTTCTTTTCCTATCATTTTCCATTTTTTATACTTTCTTAGTTTTCTTATCTGTCTCCCTTTAGTAGATCATGAGCTCTCCAAAGTCAGGGACTGGGTCTCATTCACCTTGGCACTTTTAATGACTAACTTCTAGATGGAAGACATTATTCACAAGTCATGTAGGACCACCACCTCAGACACTCGTCGGCCTTCACCAGGATGACTGCAGCAGCCACCTAACTCATTTTTCTGACTTCAGTTTACCCATCTCTACACCATCCTCCCCAATAGAGCCAAGGAAGTCTTTAAGATGTAAATCAGATCAGTTCTTCTCCTGCTTAAAACCCTTTAATGACTACTCTTGCCCTCTGGGTAAGTCCAAACTCTTCCTGGCTTAGGGGCCCTTTCACCACCTGGACCTGGCTTAGCTCTCCAACCTCGTCTCCTTCTACCCTCTCCCTCACAATCAAAGTTCCAGCTGCCAGAAAATTGTGGCAATTCCCTGAATACATCCCACCCTCTCACATGATAACAGTAACTGATATTTATTCAGCACTTGCTGTGCCAGGTATGTTCTGATCACTAAATCTGTATCCTTAATAAACTTCATAACAACTCCATGTGATAGTTACTACTATCCTCCTTTTACAGAAGATAAACCTGAGTCTTGGAAAGGAAAGGAAACTTGCTCCAGGCCAGAGAATCAGTTAAAGGAAGTTAATGAGTTGTAACTAGGCCCGTGACTCCAGGGCCTGAGATTTTCTCCACCATGTTGTCTTGAAGAAGCTGTGGTTCTCATGCTAAAATAACTTCTGTCTAGCCAAGATGTGACTGTACCCAGATAGAGATAGGTGAGAGAGAGGTCTGCTGAAGGCCTCATCCAAAGTAGATTCCGAGGGTGCCATGGGAAGCCAGACACAGAACCAGCACCTTCAGTTGCAAGGGTCCAAGAAGGCATCCCCAGACATGTGCAGTTTGAACTAAATTTCGTAGGAGAAGGCCCCAGGTATGTCAGGGGGGCAGGGAATGGGTCCTTTTGACTGAAGCAGAGAATCTGGGGAGGAGGATGTTGGGGAAACATGGAAAGGGCCAGGAGGGTTGGGGAGACCAGTCCCAAGAGGCTTCCCAGTGCTGGACTGAGAAGCTGGGGCTGCGTCTGGTGGATGCTCTGAGAGATGCTGATCTCCTTCCAGCAAAGAGGTCTGATTCCAGTGTTGATTGGGAGAAAAGAAAATACCAAATTCAGAGTGGCTCGAACAGGGGGAGGGAGCAAGTCTGGAACGCCTGGTAAGGATGCTTTTGCAACAGTCCTGACATGAGCGGTGGCTATGCAATTCCAAAGCAAAGGACTGATCCCACAGGCATGTAAAGGCACCCTGGGCTATAATTTGCTTTTTAATGACACTGCTGATCCTCCTGTTACTCATGTCTGGGGACCTCAGAGGGGCTTTAGAGCCCCCTGGGTGGCCAGAGGCCTGTGTATGGCACTTAAAGAGCCTTTGGTCAGGGTCAGGAGTCCCAGGTCTCTGGCCAGGCCTTGCCCCACTGTGGGAAAGCCTCAGGCAGCTTTTGCTCTGCTTGGGCTTGTTTTTCATGTTTGTCACACTCAATGATTGGCTGGTCTTATCCACCCAATCAAACAGGAGTTTTAGCAGAGAAATACTCTTCTGGGGCATTTGGAGTGCCTACCATGTGCAAAGTGCTGTGGGCAACACTGGGGTCAGAGCCTGGTCATCACCACCCTCCCCATGAAACGCTCAAGCAAGGCCTCCACTAATCACTGCTTCTGCTCATGGAAAACAGTGTGCGTGTGTATTAAAGACCTCACCTGAAAGCAGTGGGGAGAGAGGGCCATCTGATGAGCATCCTGGCTGAAGCAGAGATGAGTGAGTTTATATGAAAGCATGTGAAAGGGCCATCCCTGGGCTGATTTGGGTTTCGTCTGCTCTTCAGGTCCTGTGCACTGGGACACCCAACCTGGTCAAAACAAGCCAGAGGCCTCCATGGCCTTTAAAGGGAGAAAAGGAACCAGAACCTCCTGTGTGAGGATTCAATCAAAGTGGACCTTAGTAAGAGCCCAAAGCAAACATGTAGTAGGACTTAACTGAATCCAATCAAAATAAGTCTGAGAAAATTCATGTTTGTTTAACATTCATTCATTCATTCACTTACTCGTTTACTCAGCATTTTATAAGCACCTACTTGCCATGTGGGTTTATTTGCTTGTTGAAGTGAACAGATTTTCAGCTCCTTGTGGAGAAGCAATGTATCTTGTTCATCCATGTATCACCAGGGCTGCCATATGCAGTGGTAGCGGTGCAGTGTACCTCCAGCACGAGGACACTCAGCCAAAGGAGTTGGGCTGGAAGCTAACCTGTGCTCTGCTTGTTCAGGGCTGCTTCAACCTGCAGGAGCAGCCAGGACTTCTTCCAACAAGCACAAAGGTACTGGCTCTGTGCTAAGTTATGACCTGAGGAACTGAATGCTCCCAGAGAAAGTGCCTTTTTGAATTACTCCACTCAGAGAAGCAACTTTCTAATTCACACATATGTGCTCTTTATGCTATCAGAGGCCATAAGTGTTGTGAGTCTAATGTAGATTTTTTTAAGAAACATTTATTGGGCACTAACTGTGTACTGGGTGTGGTGTTTGGTCCTGCCCCATCATACAAAGATAAATAGGGCAAAATACCGACTTCTGGTGCTGTAAGTCATTTAGGCAAGTGTGTGATAAAGACACATGCACAGAAAGAAGGGGCACCTCCTCCACTCTGGGTAGTTACAGTTTCCAGGAAGTAACTTCTGGTTACCATTTGAAAGATGAGTAGAGTTTGTCCAGGAGTAGAAGTGTGGGAACATGTTCCACCCCAAGAGCAGAGATCTGCATGGGCATGACAAAAGTGGGAGGACTTCAAGTTGTGTAGGTGTGATAAGAGCAGAATTTATAGTCTTTCAGGTGCAGGGTAGATGAGTTCCTCTCCAGGAAGTCTTCCAGAATCCCTACAGAAGGAGAGATTCACTCTCCCTCTACTTTACCACCTCTAGATTGATTATCACGTTCCGTCATTGTATTTGTCACATGGCCCTGCAAACATTTGTAACGTGCATATTGCCATGATAGACCAGAAGCTTGCTGAGATCAGAGAGTTGTGTCTTCTTCATTTTTGTTTCCTTGGTAAAGAGCATAAGGCCTGGAATAGAGTAGATGCTTAATGAACATCTGCTAAAGTAATTTCACACAAGGAGAACATGCAGCAGGGGCCTCCCTTCTAGAGTTGATCTTGAGGGACTAATCCTACCTATTACATTTAAGGGGCCTCTAAAATCTTTCTTGAATTTTCTCATATGGACACTTTCACACAATCATATGAGCCTGTATGTTTATGTATATGTACACAAATGCCCATATGTACGTGTCTATGTATGTGGGTGTTATACATAT